TGTTTTATTCACATTCTTTTCAATGAGCGTGCCAGTACAATTAATAATGATACCTGACCCAACAACACTGTTCTCTATCACCAACTCTTCGATGTCTTTGCTACCAAAATCCCGTTGTTCAAAATTCTGAAAGCTAAACGATGAATTTTTGAAAATAACTTTGTCCATTTTTCCAGTGGTTTTGTAATCACAACACATGCCCGTGGAATCGCTTATCGTCATACTTTTCATTGTTCTATCAAAAATGAAATCAATAAGTTTGCAATTGGTAAGCACCAAGTGCGAAGCGGAGATTATTGGATAAATGATTTTGTTATATGGTTTTTCACCAATGTAATTTTCAACGATAAAAGTGCCAACAATAACACCCCAAAAGTTCGGCATATACCCAACGTAATTTTCGATTTTAAGAACATCAAGTGATTCTATTTTTGGTACAAATCGAATGAACGTGTTTTCTTGTGAAATGTAATTGCTGAACAAAATATCTCTCTTTATTATATCGATTTTTTGATAAGTTCGTTGATTAAATTTCAAATCAACACCAGATCCAGAATCAAAGAAACACCCTTCATTATTTTTTAATTTAATTGTTTTTAACTTCGCATTCCAAACTCTATTAAACTCTTCAATTTTTAATGTTTCAACCTTTTGTTGGTCTTTAGGAACTGCCAAAACTGTCATTTTTTCGGTGTTTGGGAAATCTATTTTTGAATCGGTCGAAACTTCACAAATTTCAAGTTTGCTGTAGTTGCCAGCAAATTTCAAATTCTTCGAAGAGATGACAGTGATACGTTCTAATTTGTCGGAATCAAAAATGAACGTGCAACTGTCGCAATTTTCGACGTCCAAAGTGGTACAATTTTTGAAAATGTTTTCAAATGAAAAATTGTTGACATTTGAAAGTAAAACAGTTTCAGTTTGCTCAAAATCGATTGGAACGAACTCGGAAATACTCGCCAGACAAACTTTTTTCGCTCTAATTTGAGAAAATTCAACAAAATTTGATTTTAGAACAACGAGTTTCTCTATGATCGCGTTTTGTTGCAATTCGACATTTGTACAATTATCTAATACAAGTGAGTGAATTTCATTAGTTATTGTTATTTTTGGGTTCACACATTTACTTAACTTCAAATCCAAAGTTTTATCGTTTAAAAACACCAAGTTGAGACTTTCACAATCTTCAAAGAAGAAATCCTTTTTCTCCTCCGCGTCGATGAGAAACTTACAGTTGTTTAAGTATTCAATTTGTAAATTTTGTGCTGCATTTTTGTTCACAAAAACTGCCGATTTGGTTAAAGATTTTAAATTCAAAAATTTCAAATGTTTCAATTTTTCAAGACTGCACTTTAAAGGTAAAAACGATATTTTCAACTTTTCGACATTTACAAATGGAAAGTCGTTTTGGTCTTCCCATTTTCTTTTGTTTTTCATGTCTTTAGTATTATTTAAAATTCCAGCATTTTGTAATTCAATGTATTTCACTGTTTCGTTGGTATTTTTACATTCAATTGTTAAATTTTTTGCATGCAACTTATTAACATGCAAATTCTTTGGCAGAATAATTGGTTGAAACTCATTTCTTAAGTCATTCATTTGAGATCTGTCTGCAATTAATAGAAGTGTGTTTACACACTCTGGCAACACCAAAGTTGTTAAGTCACAAGAAGAACCAATAAGTTTCACTATTGTAGCGTGGCACATTTCAAGTGTTTGTGCGATTTTTTCATTCCCTCTTTCATTTTTTAAACCTTCTGTCATAAAAGCAAGCTCTCCTTTTACACATATTGGGGTGATGTCATCCAGGAAGTTCAAGTCAATAACATTGGAGTAATTTTTCGACTTTGGTGTAAATTTGGCGCTACTAAGGTATTGTTTTGCATGAGTCCAGTCGATTGTAATATCACAGGAATATTCCTTTCTTAAAATTTCAATAAGTTCGTGTAATTGGAGATTTCCATGCTTATTGAGAAAAATATTAAATCCAATATTATTTTCAGAGAAATAGAGAAACACTTTTTTGATGAAAGGGATGTGTTGTTTGTCTGTTATCTTCGTTTCGTAGAAGTCGAGGAGATATACCAATGTCGATAATTCCAATTTAACACTTGGTACAGACGTGATAACACACTCAAATGCACGTGAAAAGTCGCCATGTGCTGGGTTTGGTGCAAAACTGGGTAACAAGCTGAGTGTTGTGAACTTTTCACAAAATGGAATACCATCACGTGGAGAGGGTGGTATCACATAGTTTCTTACAAAAGTTGCTTTCTTTAAGACATCGGAACGTATCATGAAAGTGTTGCAATTCACCGTGTCGGGCGAATAAATAGTACAGAACTCTTCAATGTCTTCTTTTGTAGTGAACCAAGGATTCACTTTTAATGAGGAGATCGCCATTTGTGCATTGTGACTGATTTGGATGAATGTCAAAACATCTTTCATTGTCGGTAAGTACAACGAGATTTGCATCAAATAAACCATTTCAAGGCGGGACATTGTTGTGAATTGGTTTATCGAGTCTATGAATTTGCTTTTATTGTGAATTTTTGAGGAATTGGTTTTATTTAAGTTTTCATGTTTTAAGTTGTTACGATCATGCGAAAAAGCTGTCGCGTTTGGAAAAACCTGTCTTGAAAAAATATTTTATAGTAAATTTATAATTACTTACTATACTGTATAGCTTCTATTCGATTTATTG